ATAAAAGTTACCTATGTAGAAAATTATACAATATGCTATAAATAGATTATAAATTTTCATTTTAACAAAGAAGCAAGAAGAGTCACTGACAATATGATAGAAAACTGAACAAAAGAATCCAGAAAAGGCATTATGGGAGCAATATGAGAGAGAAAATCAAAATATATGGTCTTATAAATTTCAAATACTAAGATGCAGAAGAAATTCTGGTGCGGTGCTGCAGGATAAGCATTGGACTGTGGTTCAAACCCACCAGTCATTCCTCAGAAACCTTCTACAGGTCACTAGGGGTTGGAACTGACTTGACAACACTTAACAACAACAACAAGATGTAAAATGGTTTTCACACAAGTCAAGTTTATTTATTATTTGTTTTAATAATTATGCTATTCTTTGGCTTAAATAAAACCTTCGATATTTTGTTGTTGTTGTAGTGACTCTACATGACAGAGTAGGACTGCCACATAGGGTTTCCAAAGCGATAGTCTTTATAAAAGCAAATCACCAGGTCTTTTCTACCATGGATACTCTGGTGGGTTCAAATTGCCAGCCTTACAATAGTCACCAAGTGCTTAATCTCTGTGCTACCAGGGCTCTTTTAAAAATTTATATATCAGAATTTTTTAAATTACCAGTTTGAAATAGCTATTGAGCAACTCAACATAGTGGGTAAACCATGAGAAAGCTGAAGTAAAGTTGACAAAAGTATTGTAAATTATATTTGTTGTTGTTGTGAAGTGCCATCAAGTCGGTTCCAACCCATAGCGACCTTGTATAGGGTTTCCAGGGAGCAACTGGTGAGCTTGAACTGCAGACCTTGCAGTTCAAATGGCTTTGCAGTCTGGTGCATTAACTCACAGTGCCACACCAGTACTCCAAACTACATATGTTCTACTATGGAATATGTTCAGAGAAGAGGCTGCAGAAGATGTTAAGGAAGAAAATGGGTAACAAAGCTTCACATCCCTATGAATTTTCAGAGATTTTTCATTGAATTACAATGGATAAAAATGAAATGAAATGGTATTGACATACATACTGTTTAACTGACCAAAGAAAAGGAACAACAGTCTTTTAAATAATTGTTTAAATAAAACAATTCCAAATTTGATGTTTGAAATCTAAGTGTTCAATTATCAGTCTGAGAACAGTTATAACAAAAATGACAAGAGAAATTTTCTAAAATCTGATTCAAATGCAATGACCATTTTGATCATTTTCACTGAACAAGACAAACCGTTAAATATTTAGCACTCAGAGTAAGTTCTACATTATTTTTCAAAAGCCCATTGAGATAGTCTAAGCATTTTTATTGTTTTCAGGCATTTACTAAAAGAAAAGTCACTAAACAGGAACAAATTCAAAACATTGTCATATTTTTCCCACCTTGCTATAGGATATTCCATCAAACACAGATGTTATTTCAGCAGGGGTTGTCACCGTGACAACAATTGGGTGTGAAGACATCAAAGAATCATCCTCTTGTACAGGTAACACATCATCAAGCAACATCTGGTCACGCTGGAATGGGAGAATGAAACAAAGAAGCACAACATTTCTTATACTGGTTCACATTTTAAAATACCATCTATATTATATGTTATATGATAAGTTGTATTTATTATATACAACATTGTAGGATAAGTACTGGACTGCTAACCACAAGATTGGTGATTCAAACTCACCAGCCCATTGCTCAGATACCATATTCAAAGATTCTATGAGTTGGAACTGACTTGGCGGGACGTAACAACAACAGCATATTATAAAAATAGGGAGGAAAGTAAATATAAACCACTCTTTCAAATTATTTGATAAAACATTAATTTCTCATGCTAACCATCTTTTGTACTGGTTTAATCTATATACTTTCTGATTTCATTCTCTTCTATTTTTAACACCATCAACCTTTCCCTCTAAATGCCAGGCCTAGAATACACAAAACGATCTCAGTTGTCTGTCATGCAGTTGATTCTGATGCAGGGTGGTCCATGTGTGTTAGTGTTAAACTGTGCTCCATAGGTCTTTCTTTTTTAAAGCTTTTATTGTGAATTTAGTGAATGAAGATTTACAGACAAAATCATCAGTTTTACATTCAACAACTCATACACTTTGTTTCATCTCAATGACTACAATCCCCTCCATACAACAAAGGTTATCCCACATCCTCTCTATGGTTCCTATTTCCACTCCACTCACATTCCCAACACTTCTCAACTTTCCATCTTATGACGTCCATGTGTACAGTTGTCACTTATGTTGTTTTAAAAAAGGTACTTGCAATGAATAAATCTTGCAAATGAAATAAGTCTTTCAAAATTCTATCATAAAACGTATTCAGGAGTTTTGGTTCTTTTCTAGATTCTGAAATAGTTTGATTAGAATTGGCATCAACTCTTGTCTGTTAGGTAGTATTCATCAGTAGTAAAGCCATCTGTGCCCAGACCTTTTTTTTTTTTTTTTTTTTTTTTTATGTTGAGAGTTTTTGTAATGACTTCATCATTTGTTATAGGTCTGTTTAAGTTTTCAACTTCATTCTGTTAGTTTAGGTAGATCGTGTTTTTCTACAAATATACCCATTTCTTCAAATTGTCAAATTTGTAGGAGTACAAGTCTTCATCGTCTTCTGCTACTATCCATTATGCTATGATCTTTTTTTCTTATAGTTCTGTTGTGACCTCACCCATATGGTTTCTTATGAATGCTCTTTGCATACTTTCCTTTTCTTTTGCTAGATTTACCAAAAGTTTGTCAGTTTATTAATCCTTTCAAATATTCAACTTCTTGTCTTTCAGATTCTATTGTTTCTCTGTTTCTAATGCATTTATTTCTGCTCTAATCTTTGTTCTTTTTTTCAGATGACTGTAGTCTTACTTTTCTGCTCTTTTTCTAATAGTTGGAGATATTATGTGAATGTGATGATTTGGGTTCTACTTTGGGTTTTTTGGGGGGAGTTTTTTTGTATGTGTTCACTTATTGCTATAAATTGTCCTCCAAGCCCTACTTTTGCTGTGTCTAAAAGGTTTTGGTGTATTATGTTTCTGTTCTAATTTTATTCAAGGAATTTTTAATTTAATTTTCATTTGTTCTATTACCCAGTAGCTTTTAAGCAGGGTGTAATTCAATTTTCATGTATTTAATTTTATATCCTTGATCTTTCGAATGTTGATTTTGAGTTTTGTAGCATTGTGATCTGAAAAGATGGTCCATGGTATTTCAATGTTTTAAAATTTATTGATGCTTGTTTTGTATCTTAGCATCCAGACTATTCCAGAGAACGGTCTGTGTGCACTGGAAAAGAATTTGTATTTTGCTGTTATTGGGTTGAGCGCTCTGTATAAGTCTATGAATTCAAGTTGGTTGATTATATTTTTCAGTTCTTCTGTTTCTTTGTTGAATTTCTTTCTAGTTGTTCTATCCTTCATAGAAAAGTAGTGTATTATATTAAAACATCTTACAATTATTGCAGGATTTCTGGTGTGGTGCTCTAGGATAAATACTTAACTGCTAACCACAAGGTTAGCAGTTCAAATTCACCAGCCTCTCCTCGGAAACCCTATACAGGGTTGCTATAAGTCAGAAATGACTTGGCAGGTCTTAAAAAGAACTATTATTGTAAGGAGTTCTGGTAACATAGTAGATTACTAGCTGGGTTGCTAACTGTAAGGTTAGTAGTCTGAATCTACCATAGCCACCCTATATAAGATTAGTAAGGATGTTAATTTTTATAGGAACAGAAAGCCTCTTTTTTCTCCCACAGAGTGGCTGGTGGATTAGAACTGCTGGCCTTGCAGCTAGCAAGCCAACGTATAACCCACTATGCTACCAGGGTTCCTTTCAGAGACTCCTAAAAGGCACAAAAATCCATTGCTGCGGATTGGCTTATGACTCATTGCAACCGTATAGGGTAGAATAGAACTGCCCCACAAGGATTCCAAGGCTGTAATCTTTACAGACGTTGCTGACACACCTTTTTTCCTGCAAAGTCACTGGTGGGTTCAAGTCACTGACTTTCTGACTACCAGAAGAACACTATAAACATTGCCCCATTAGGACTCCTAGAGGACACGGCATTGTAGAATTTAGTTTCTGCTACCTTTGTATCACTTTTGTACACAGCTAAACTTTTCAAGCACCATTTCTGTATCTGTACAATGGGATGATGATAGCATCATACATTCTTCTGAGAATTAAAAAAGGAAGCATGTAGAAGTGCCAAGTGTCTAACTGGTGTTCAATCTTCTTTTTCATATCCACATGTCACTGGAATTTGGAAGATTCAAATTTAATGAACGAATTAGTAGAAGAAAATACTAGCTTATATTTGAGTTCTAATTCCAGTCCTCTTATTCCAGTCCTAGGCTTTGTCAGTATAGAAACTGTAGAAAGGTCTTGCACTATAGCCAGACTTATTAAGTTCAAAGCTCAGATTTCTATGTGTAGTTATGTAAGCCTAAGCAAGTCCTCATGCCTATTCAATAGGGATAATGATGGAATCTCCTCTTTGAGTTGTGCAGAGGATTCAAGGAAGTAATGCACATGAAGTTTATATATAGTACTTGCTATACAGTAAAATCCCGACACCTTAGCTGTCATTATTATTCTAATTATGTAACATTTAGATTCTGAAATCTAGCTCTCTTAAATCACTGCTAATTAAAAAATCGGAAGTTTTATTGATCCTTCTCTAAAAATATCATCAATCTACCTATATTTCAGAAATCTAGCTCTCTTAAATAACTACTAATATAAAAAGTCAAAAGTTTAATTGGTCCAACTTTTAAATAAAGTATGTTCAAAACAGAAGCATTCTATTTTATTTCAGATTTTCCAATTTAGTTTTCCATTTATGTTGAGCAAGATGTTATTGCTAAGTCTGACATCCAAGGTAATTTTGACTTGGATTTTGTGTTCGGTAGGTTTAGATAAGTAGAAAGGATCCTATTTTTGATGACAGGAAATTTGACTGTAGTCTTGGTTTTGCTATCAAGTGTTTGTGAAAACTTGGAAAACTTAAACTACATTTACTGCTTTTTATGTAGATCCTGTGAAACAAGCTATTTGTTATATGAGGCATCACTGCAGTATTTGTTAAATTCTCTTTAGTGCATCTTGATTTATCTGACCCTACTCCCACCCCTCCACTGCAGGACCCTACAATTGTGAACTTCTTAAGCACAGGAAATGTGTTCTATTAATTTGAGGGGTCTTCTCTAGTATTTGATGGCTGTCTGACTGAATGATTGAATGTGCTAGACCATGTGATTAAAATTTCCTTTAAGAATTACATACCAAATTGTTCTCAGTTTTATCAGTGCTTCTTGTATGTTAAAATTGAATATCGGACAGGATTAAAATGCTGTGACTTATTAATGGATAACAGGATATTGTGATATAAGAGAAAGGAAAGAAAGGACAAAATAAATTTTTATTATACTTCTTAATAAGTTATGAAATTATAAATTTTTCTTGTAAATAAGTATTTTTCAGCTGGGGGAGATTTGGGTGCATAAGAGACAGCTGGAAATGTGGAGATATTCTGTTTGTCACAATAGAGGTGTGGTTGTTGCTGGCTTCTGGGGAGTAGAAGCCAGGAATGTGGATAACTATTGTACAATGCATAGAATATTGGCTGAATAACAAATAATTATCTGGCCCTAAATACCAATGGTTCTAGCACAAGAAAATCCCTGATGCAAATTAAAGTAGTTAAAGAAATGATTACTGCACAATAGCTTTTCTACCTTTAAAAAAAAGGTTATGAAAATTTGTGGTTTAACCTTAATGAAATGAGGCTTAAGGCACTTTGTGCTGCATTTTCATTCTGTCCCAGTAGAGGGGAGTAGTCTACATAGTACATAGTCTCCAATTCCCTACTTTCACATATCTACAGTCATACATTCATACATGCAAGCATATGAGAATACTTGTGGTGGTGGTTGTTAGGTGCCATTGAGTCAGTACTGACTCATAATGACCATATGCACAACAGAACGAAACACTGCAC